GTTACAAAGACAAGAAGCAGCCTTCAAGTTCTGCCCGCTCAGAGAACTGGTCCTAGCTCGGGGAAGCAGCCGACTAACCGAGCAGCAACCACAGAAGCAAGCTGTTAACTGCACGCTTGGGGGCTCTGGCTGGCCTACCGGGTTGTGGATGTTGGCAAAACTTCCTGAGGAAGGGGGCTGGGGCCTTCCTATCGTTTCCCCTCCCTCCCACCCACACCCAACCTAGGCTTCCATTCCGGTGCTCAGGGACCAAAAGCTTTTAGGCGTCGCCCAGAAGGAAGCGTCTACTGGAAATGGCCCGCTGGGGTCAGGCCTTAAGAACAAGGACCGGTAGAAACACCTGCGTCACAACTGGAAACGGGTACAAGAGGAGGCTCCCGCAGACCCTCCAAAAAGTGGAGGTGCAAGGACTAATTCTTTGGGGAAACGAAAGAACCCCCACGGCTAAGTCAAAGCCTTTCAAAACAAAACAAAGCCAGGCGCACTCCCTGAACAAACGGGCAAGGGAAACCTTGCGATTTCTGCAGAGCTGTTAAGGTCCCTGTGAACTGCGCCAGTGCAATGATGTAATAAGCAGTTAGCTGCTCCCCCACAAAGGGCGGTGGCTTGAGTTCACCCAGAAATGCCTTAGCAGGGAAGCAGAGTGAACCGCTTCTGGAGACTGGAGTTCTAATATGGGGTGGCCCTGACCTAGACGATCAAGGGCAGCTGTAAGGTTCCTCTGTTTTCTTTCATTATCAGAACTAGGGGGGCTTCCGAAAGACCCTGGGGAAACACCATTACCTCTGAAATCAATCTCCCGCAAGCCTGTGACAGTTACTGAGCACAAACCAGGCAGAAGAAACCAAAGGGGGCTGGGGCGTGTCCAGCAGGAAACCACGGGCCGGAAAGCAAGAAAATCCCAAACCCCCTCTGCCAAGCAGGCTTGAAAACAACTCTACCACCTGGAGAAGGCAGTGGGAACGCAGACCCAAGTTCACGCCCCCCCATCTTCTTCTTCCCTTTCCTTCCCTCCCCCTTCCCCCCACGTGCTCAGGAGGGCCTGCAGATAGAGCAGCTCCAACACCTTGTCAAGTCAGGCCTTTTATTGTTAGAAAGCACCCCCGTGGGGGAACACATCCTACAGTCAGTGCACCCGTGAAGGAGCCACTGAAGGGGGAACAGATCACACTCCCACCACCACGCGCCCAGGACCCTCCCTTCATCGCCCATCAGGTCTTGAAGAGAACGCACGCATTGACAGTCCCATCTTGACAATGCTCTCAGGAAATAAACTTGTTCTTAAAGCACACTAGGGCCTAACTGCCCCAAGTAACACGCGACTGAGTGCTGTGGTTTGCTGAGGGCAAAATCATAGTTTTAAAAAGGCAATCGGCTTTGTGCTGGGGGTCCGGTCAATGGCGTGAGCAGTGAGCTCGGTTTAATGGGCATCAGCACGGAGCCTGCCCATCAGTCACACAGATCATGCAGCGTTAGCTTCAGCTCATTAGAAAGCAGCCGGTTTCGCTCAAGTTGGCTGTAGAGACGCTCTGCGGCAGCAACGGGGAGGAGGGAAGACAAGGAGGAGGGGGGAAAGAGGAGGAGAGAGAGAAAAAGGGCGTTAGTGGAGCACCTGAAGCAAGGATCTGAGGCTCTTACCTAGCTGGTACACTGAGCATGCGTCTATTAGGCAGGACAGATGCGAAGAGGCCTTGGACAGAGGGCAGGAAGGGTCAGTCAGTCAGTGGAAAGATGTCCCCACCAACGGAGGAACAAAAGGGGGTGGGGAGAATCATCAGACGGACAAGCGGGTAGGACAAGACTCGGAGGAAAAACACCTCCTTCTGGGTGTTTAGTTCCTGGGCTGCGAGGCTGAGATGAATGAAAACGAGCAAGAGGAGGAATGCGGATAGGCTTCGAAGAAATCGTCTACAATTCTCAGGGTTTAGAAGAAAAACCACGTGGACGGTGACTAGTCTTCTGTGAAAGCCTTCCACGCGGTGTCATTAAAAGTAAGGTGAGATAAATATTCCACCCCTGCTCAAGCCTAAACCTTCTAGGTGCTGTGTGAGACGGTTCCAATAGCCAATTCCACCTTCTTTGCTAATAGGACCCTGGGCGAACTTTAAACCTGTAAGCGTCAACAATATGCCCAGCCACCGGGTTGGGGGCGATAAATCCCTAGCCTAAGACAACCAAGACTGTCTCGTTCTTTGTTCTTGTAGCACCCTCTGCAGCTGGAGGAGGGGGGCCATCATGTGACCAAGTTGTAGCCAGTGAGACGTAAGGCCGAATCAACTGGTGGTTACTGGGCAAACTTTTGCTCTCCTGCATGCCTGTAACATGAATGTGATGCCTGGGCCTGCAGAATCTGCCTTTCAACCTTAAGGGAGGGGCCAGGGAGTCTGAGACCCCACGTATATCAGGCCACCAGCTGTCCAGTTTGAACCAGTTCCGTCATGGCCCACATGTAAACCAGAAAAGATTGGGGTTTAGCCAAAAAGAACACCAGAAGTTTTAAAAATTTGGGGGAAATGGACCGGAGGAAATTATGGAACAGAAGGCCTAGACTAGAAGACTTGGAAGGGGCGCAAAATGAGAGCCCTTCCAAGAACCTGGCTCAGGAGATGAATTATTGGGGAAAGGTGGCGTGGCGCAGGAACAGGTGTGATAGGTAGGCAAAACGTGTGCTGCCCTGAGAGGTGGGTGCGTTTTTAGCAGGGCTATGACCTGTAATATTCTACCCATAGAATCTTTCAATTGTGCTTGCATTTTTTCTCGGTTCCTTCCGTTTGAGATATGTTGAGCGTGTTCGTTTCAGTTTTCTAGCTCTAAACCCTTGCACGTTTCATTGCAGCATTTGATTCTGACTTCTGGAGCTGCCCTCTGAAGTTTTCTACCCCTCTCTCGTCCTTTCTTCCACTCGCGTTCGCTCCGCTCCGCTCCGCTCCGCCCCGCCTAACAGACCCACTCTGATCCACAGGAAAGATCTCCCTTTCCTGTCTTTTGAATGACTTGTTGTCCCTGAAGGACAGCATGCTTGGTAAAGGTGGGGGGGGCAGGGCAGCGACCAAGAGGAAGACTGACATCGGGGCTGCAACCCTGGGCTCGGCCAGAGAAACCGCTCTGAGGACAGAGCAGGACCATGCACAGGGTTGCTGTGGGTCGGAACCCACTCGGCGGCACCAAGCAGCAGCGCATGACCAGTCGTTCTTCCTGCCACCACTTCAGTTCACCTCAAATGTCAGTCCCTTCTGGTGTCACTTCCTCAGCCAGGACTGCGCCGCAGACATATTCTTATGGGAGAAAAATAAGTCACCGAAGCTACTGCTCAGCTGCTTCTTATAGCCAATGGTGCTCCTGGAGACAAGTCCGTACGTGTTTTGGTCTACCGCCTTAGCTGCACGTCTACAGCAGCTCACCCCATCGAGGTGTGGCGAGCCCACCCTGACATGACGAGGGCCGGCACATGAAGATGGACCTCCTGATCTACTCCCAGGATCAGCCTCTGAGGTCCTGGGAGTACATCAGCTTCTCTCTGGTTTACAGGCTGGTTCAACACGGTCTCAAAATCACTTACGTCTGTGGGCTGACGGTGGCCACTGCTCACACCTGGCCTGCTAGCTTGAGTTTTCCTGGTTCTACCCAGAAGCCGGGGGCCAGGTTGGTCCCTCTAATACTTCCACCATATTTACACTATCACACTATGGAAAAAGAAAGCTTTATCACGGCAAAGAAATAGCTTGGGGAGGGGGGGGATATAGCTAAAAATAGGAGTTGTAAGAAGGAGAATTAAGGCGATTCTAAAAAACTGTACTTCCCATTAAACCAGCGGTTCTCGTTAAGAGCAGTATGGCCCTTCCAAGTTTAAGGGCAAGATTTCATTATCAC